CCTCCTCCTCCTCTCTCCCTCTTTCTTCTCCTGTCCTCACTTCTCCCTCCTCCTCTCTCCCTCTCCCTCCTCCCCCTCCTCACTTCCCCCTCCTCCTCTCCCGTGTGTCCAGCCCCCAGTGCAGCCCTCTCCTGGTGCTTCTCCTTGTCCAGGCTCAGCAGCACATCACTGCAGACCGCACCGGGAGCCACCGCCGGCAGCAGGCCTACATCACGCCCACGATGGCCCAGGCTCCGTACTCCTTCCCGCACAACAGCCCCAGCCACGGCACTGTGCACCCCCACCTGGCCGCCGCCGCCGCTGCCCACCTCCCCACCCAGCCCCACCTCTACACCTACACGGCGCCCGCGGCCCTGGGCTCCACCGGCACCGTGGCCCACCTGGTGGCCTCCCAAGGCTCGGCACGCCACACCGTGCAGCACACTGCCTACCCGGCCAGCATCGTCCACCAGGTCCCCGTGAGCATGGGCCCCCGGGTCCTGCCCTCGCCCACCATCCACCCGAGTCAGTATCCAGCCCAGTTTGCCCACCAGACCTACATCAGCGCCTCTCCAGCCTCCACCGTCTACACTGGATACCCACTGAGCCCCGCCAAGGTCAACCAGTACCCGTACATATAGACACTGGGAGGGGGCACGGGCGAGGGCGGGAGCTGGGCGTCTGGCACTGAAGACGCCGCACAGCAGCAGTACAAGGGGCGGGGCGGGGACACTGCTGACACTTGAACTAGGAAGTGGGAGGACTGAGCAGAGAAGAGAACATTTTTAAAAAGAAGGGATTCAGGAGGGGATCTATGCTTTTTATTTTAAAAAGAAAAAGAAAAAAAAGAAAACGTCGGTAACAAAAACACAGCTCATGAACCCATTCTGCACCAAACTGGAAAGGAGAAGAGAGAGCGATGGAAGATTCCGGAAGGGGGGCCAGTTTCTGAAGAACTTTGTCTATGAACTTTTCAGAGGTTATTTTCATATGGCAGCAAGTGACATTTAAGAATTTGCTGTCAGGGACACCTGATATGGAAATCCAATAGGTTTTTCATGGTTGAACATGAGGATTAGGGATTTTTCCAGAACTCTGAAGGGTCAACAGCCCTAGAGGTCAGGCCGCTGTGGCCTGATGTGGGGGGTTGGGCTGTTCAGGCTCCTTGGGGGGAAGGGGGTGGCCAGGCCCAGGAAGCCCTCCCCGAGGGCACGTGTTCTCTTTCTGAGCACTCTGGATAAATCCCTAAGGAAGTTACTCCTCAAATGTCATTCATAATGTTTGTTCCAAACTTTAGTTTTTTCTTTCTGAAGATTTATTTTCTCTTTGAATCAATCCCTAGTCGCATAGCAGGGCTGGCGGGCGTTGCCGACACCCGGTGGAATGTAGCATTCTGCACCCGTTTCTGCTTTGTGTTCATCTCCCGTGATACCAAGAGACTGTCCTCAGTGTAACTGCACACAGTGATAGGGCACAGGCATGTAACCAACGCGGTGGCGTGGCCCAGGCGTGAGCGAGCGCCTGTGCGTCCTGGGCGCGGCCGGGCTCCCTCCTGACTTGACATCATTCCCTCCTAGTGCCTTACGGAACCGGAGCGCGAGGGTTTCCTTCCACGGTCCTCCAAGCCGCTGGCGGGCGAGTCGGAGCATCTCGGCACTTTTGTGCTGTTGAAACATTTTACTCTGGTCTTTCCTCTTTTTGTTTTTAAATTTTAATTTAATCTAATTTTAGTACCTGTTGTCTGTCTATGGCTGTTTGCTGGCAGAGGGGTGTCAGGGAGCTGGCAAGGCCGGAGAGCCCCCGGATGTTGAGATTGGGGGTGGACCTGGTGGGTGTGATGTTTTAGATGACTTTATTTGGACAGAGCAGGAGCCCCCCTTGCAGCCCCCCTCCTCCCCACCCCCACCCCCCACCGACTGTTCTACCTGTATGGCTGCTCTGCCATTTGTGGGGCCAGAGGTCCCTCTGTGTTGCAGAAACGCTGGCCTTGCTAGTGGCTGACTCCTTCCTGGTGTGGAAAGGACAGAGGAGAGGAGGCCGCCAGCCGCCTGCCACCTCCAGGCCGGCACACTTCCTGCCGCCTCTGCGGGCTGGAGCGCAGGCCTGGTCCCCAGCCGGTGCTCTCGCCTCCCCCAGGCCTCACTGTCGCACTGCCCCTCCCCTCTGGACCCTTCCCTCTGCAGACAGCCACCAGCCTGTGCTCGCTGCGGTCTCTCCCTCATTACCTGGGCCTGCCCACGGCACCACTTGGTTTTGGTTTTTGAGGGTCTGGTGGGCAGAAGGCAGGGGGACATTTATGGGGGTGACCAGGAGGCCTTCGGCCACCCCTTGGAGGTCCCTCCCGCCGCCAGTTAGGTTTCCAAAGAAATTGCCCTTTGCCCTCTTTGCACCTTTGATACATTCTGGACGTTTCTCAGGCTTGAACTGCTGGAGGCAGGTGGGGTCTCTGCTCACAGCAACTCACACTCATGAAGGTTAGGAGACTGTGTGGTCATAGTGAGGCTTTAAAGGGAGGCCCTAAACGTCGGCTCTCCACGCTGAGTCTTTAACTGAGCCCAACGCCGCGTTCCCAAGGTGCAGAGAGGCCGCTCCGTCCCCGTCCCCGTCCTCGTCCTCTTCCTCGTCCCCGTCCCCCTCCCTCCCGCCCTCCCTCCTTCCCTCCACGTCTCCCTTAACGATCTGCTGTGAAAGGTGTTTTTATAGTGACATCCGACCTAATTCAGTGAGGAAGCCAAACCTTCACCTTAGCTCTTAGCTGTGAAATGTGAACTAACTCTGGAAATTTCCCCTCCCGACCCACCACAAGTCCTACTTACCTTACAGAGATCCCATTTATCCCGGCCTCAGGCTGGAAGGAAGGAAGGACACATGAGTCTCGGAGGGCGGACAGCCCCAGGGCCCAGCAGGATCCATAGTCTGTCTGATGTGGGCAGTGCGTCCTTCTGAGACGACAGGAGACGGCCAGTCGGTGGGAGTAGTGGGGGGCGCGGGGGAGGGGGTGAAGTTGGAGGCCACGCCAGCCTGGAAGGCCCGACTCCGGCAAGGATGGCCGCGGCGCCCCACCAGGTCTCGAGCCCAGTTACCTGTCTGGGCTGCGCGTGAGCCTCGCTGGCCTTACTGTAGCATCCTGGGCCGCGCCCAGCCCTCGCGCCCTCTGACCTTTCCAGAAAAGACAACCAGCCTTCCGTTTGAAGCAGATGACTCTGTCTACCACGTCGACTTTCACCTGACACTTCTTTCCTTTTCTTCCAGACCAGGAATGAAAGGTCCATGCTGCTCATAAAGATAATATTATTGTACTAATTATTTTGATTATTATCAGTGTAATTATTGTCATTATCATCGTGTGGATATTTTAGTTGGGGTTTGAAATGCACACTTATTCCATGTATCTTTGTGTTTTCTCTTTAATATTTAAACTTATTTGATTATATCTGTGAGTATCTGAGTAGACAGGAAGGACATACAGATGTCCAGTTTTGTCGGACAAAGGAATTAGGTGAACTGTTTGTCATCCCTTCCACTGAGAGCTGTCAAGGAAAGATGCCCCGCAGAACAAGAGTGAAGAATCAGGCCTTTCCTCTGCGCAGCCTGGGCGCTGACCACACAGGCCGCGCGTGCTGAGCCCTGAGCGTGGGCCTCCGCCTGGCCCTGCGCTTCTGAACCCGGCTGCCCAGATCCTGGCCTGCTCACACCCGCCATGTACCTGTCCCGCCAAAAGAGCCCCCTGCCGGAGCTGATGCAGCCCCTCCCAGGCGCCCCCTTTCCCGTGGGGCACCAGGAGGGTGGCTCAGAGACCACTGTCCCTCCTGGAAGCCCAAGTAAGGCTGCCGGGCAGGCAGGACCGTCCCCTGGAAACTGCCGCCTCCCCTCCCCCCTCCCCCCACGCTGCCCACTTCCTCAGTCTGGCCCTGCCCCCAGGACCTCTCAGCTTGCAATCCTAAGGACAAACTAGTGAGCCAGAAAGGGTGGAGGGATGCTAGGAGGCCGGAGGACACTGACACGCCCAGCAGCTGCTCACACTGCGGCCAGGGTGAGATCATCGGCCCACAGTGCCCTGATTTTCCCATCAGCAAGGTGGACACACACTGCCCACAAACCCAGAAACTTCAGCCCCGGGTGAAGAAAGGGTTGAAATGCCAGCTTCCCTGAAAGGGCAGGGGTGCAGCTGGGAGATGGGCAGGACCCAGTCCCGCAGACACTCAGCAAATGTTAGCACACTCCCCTAGTCCCCGCCTGCCTTCCTCCTTCAGTCCCCGGCACAGCTGTGGGATCACAGCTGTGTGCCTCCAGTGGGAGGCGCCAACCTCTGCCGGTGCTCCTTGGCACTTGCCCGCATCTCCCATCCCGTCCTCCAACTGAGGCGCCCTAGCAAATGGGATGAGCAAAAGGCTGCCCATCCCTAGGACCAAGCTCTCAAGTAGAGGGGTGTCAACCTAGTCCTACTTAGACCTCAAGTACCATAACCTAGAGCATCATCTGTTCAGTAATTGGCTTCATCCTTCTTTGCTGAGGAAACGTCGTAAGAGTGAGAGGGGAAATGCAAAAAGACAGGCAAGGGAGACTGCCGTGGGAGCCAGCCCTCCGGGATGTTTGCACCCGTGTGTCTGCGCTTAGGGCCTCTTTCGTGACGATTGGGCTGTTTCCAAGGGAAGGGGTGAGCAGGCCGATGGGTGGGAGAGTCTGAGGCTTGATGCCAGTTACTTTTGTGAAAGAGCATGGGGTTGATCGAGTCAGAGGGACAAGGAGGGTGGGGCCAGCCGGCGGTTGTCTCCCGGACAGGATTTGCATCCAGGCCTTCCTGGCGCTGAGTGGCCTACAGGCCGCGGGAGCCAGCTGGCAGTCCCCTTCACCCCGGGAGACAACCCGCCCAGACACCAGGCTGCTGGGTGTGCGGAGGGAGGGCGAGGTCAGCGCAGCTGCTAAGGGCTGCTTTCCCTCGACCAGACCTGTAGAATTGCAGACACTCGGTTTTGAACAAGCTTGTGGTGGAGGATTGGGGTGTGAGAGTGAGTGAGTGAGTGAGTGGAGCAGACTTTCTTGGAAACTGGAGGAAAGAGATGAGGAGGCTTGAGGAGCTATTACTGGTGGCTGTGGGGGTGAAACGCCATGTCCGCGGGCTGACCCAGCTTTCATCCGGACTCTGTCTGGTGCTGGGGGCAGGGCAGGATGTGAGGCTCTGGGACAGAAAACAGGAGAAAAAACCAGGTAGCAGGGAAAATTCAACAGAGAGGCGAGGTCTCCTTCCGCGGCCTTGCCGGGCCCTCACAGCGCCAGCATAAGAGCTTTGCCACAAAGCACTCCCTCCCAGGGGACTTGGCGTGCTTCTCGTCCACCCGGTCGGTCTTTTCTTTCTGGTGTGTCTTACAGACTTCATGGGGAACCCCCAGAAGGAAGCAGGCCAGAGCTGTCCTTACCAAATTGGAAAGGAAGGTGTCACTGTTCCTTTCTTTAGCCAAAGAACCCTCTCGGAGACACCTCCAAACACGGACAGCATGACGGCATTCCTGTCTTTCCTCTCGGGGCAATAATGACATTGTTAGTGATGCAATTCCATTTGTCTTTCTCTTTCCTCTGTATCCTGACTTTCTGTTGTTACATTGATTTCAAAGCTGTACTCATCTTTTCAGAGAAGTAGATTAGTAACCCTAACGCTGCTGCTACTGGGGGGCTGGAGACACCACGTGACTCTGTGAGCTTAACTGACCTCGTGTCCCCACGGGTCTGACCGGGCAGACCTGCCGGGAAGTTCAGCTGCGTTTGGGGTTTGGATGTGCGCAGGAGCCGGGCTTTGATGCCTTTGGACTCTCACTTCTAATCTCCACAGACTAGTCCATAAAATCTCAGCCGGGCTACTAGAGAATTGACGATGGTAAAATGACTTAAATGCAACAGAGACTTTCAAAGACTATTGGTGCCTCTGTCAATAGCATCACCCCACCTGGCAGAAGCTTCTCACCTCATTCCTGCAGCTCCACGCCAGCTCTTCCCTTCAGACCCAGTTGACGCAGAAGGGACCCTCCGTAGGGCACGCTCTCAGAATACCTGCCCCAGAGGGACCCTCCTGGGTGCCCCCAACTCAACTCCCACAAGCCTCCGAGAGCCCCTAATCTCAAGAATATTAGATTGACTATCTCATTTCTTCTCAAAACCTGCAATGGCCCTCAACTAACAGCCAGCATTTGTTGAATGCCTTCAGCACTCCAGGCCCCAGGCAAGCCCTGTGAGGGTGACCTCATGGCGCCCTCAGAGCTACCCCATGTACGACGCCCCCTTTACTGATGGTGGGTGGTGAGGAAGCTGGTGTTCTAACAAAAAAAGAGTAGCATGTGCTAATGAAAATAAAATAGTGGTCTGAAATTGCCACATTTCTAGTGAAATTTTTGTTAAGGAGGCCTTGGCTGAGATAGGATTTTTAATTAACAGCCTCATATTTCTGACCATTTAATGGTACTCCCATCGATTGTGTGCCAAACACTGTGCTAAACACTGCTCATCCGTGAGCTTGTTTAACCTGGTCTTCAGAATAACGGTGAAATCAGCAATAGGCATCCATTACAGAGGAGGCAGCTGCCAGGGTCACCCGGCTAGGAGGGAGCGGGCCTTGGACCCAGGTCTCAGCCGCTGGCCTCGGGGTCTCCCATGTTTAAATGCAAAGAAAGGCCTTAGGATGTCCCCGCGCTGTGGCTCACCGCGCATGGGACTCAGCAGCAGGTCTGCGTGGAGAGGGCGT